CTTAAATTGATCTCTCGAGCTAGTGGCTGCGATTTTTTTCGGAGGAGGTACAGGGTTTTGGAGTTTTTGTGAGGAGTTCTTCACTTTTTCAGCCGGTTCTCCGGCTGCCCAAATTAGTAACAGGTGGCAAGTGCATTAGCCGTCTGCATCCTCCACCGGACGTCATCTATCCGTATGTGTGTATTTATAGTGTGTAGCGGGTCGACGGGAGTCGTCATAGCAATGTGGTGACGTAGGGCTATCCATGCTAACTTGAGCGAGCCTGTATTTAGCTTCTTCTCTAGCCGGGTGAATGTGTACATTAGGGAGTACATACTACACAACTGACGCCGGAACTGTAGCCGGCGTTGGGGGCGAAAGGGTTAAGGTGATATGAAAGAAAGAATTTGGTGAATACATCAGTCTGTGTATACATATGCAATGGGAAATAATATAAGTGAAAGAGAAAAAGAAACAAACCCGAAAAGTTGCGAAGCTGGGCCTTTCAATTTGGGAACAGTAGCTCCGTATTTACATAATGCAAATGAATTGCTGATTGCTGAAGTATTACTTCGGTCATGTGTCCCGCTACACGCACACTTTTTATACTTTATGTTTCTTCATTTAAATAATATTTCTTTTCAATGCACTTCAGAGTTCAAGCTAAAGAGTAATAAATAGAATTAGAAAATATTACTCATCTTCGGGCATTGTTTTGTAGATGTCGGTTATAGCCTTAAACCATAAATATCTAAATCTCGCATAGCAGTGGAAGGGGTAAACTCGAATACCACATGCACCACATGCAAACCGATGACAAATATTTCGCGAACGGTTGCAGCACGATGCAATAGAAGGGGTAAACTCGAATACCACATGTGCCGACGGCACTCGGACCCAATCAGATTTTACACCATATATTTATGTAGACCGCCTTGCAGTAGAAGGGGTAAACACAGAATACCACATGCACCACGTGTGTCGACGGCACTCAGACCCAATCAGATTTTACACCATATATATATGTAGACCGCCTTGCAGTGGATGTGGTAAACGAATGTATTTATATACCACGTGTCCTGCGACTCACCCATACAGTTAAGGTGAGGGAAAACCTCTCAAATCAGTTGATTCGAATAAAATACTTTTCTTAAGGGTATTGGACCAAACTGTCCGAAACTTTGACACATGACTCGTGATCATCTAAGAATTGTCCTGACACATTGAAAATTTGGATTTTGAAAAAATTTTTTAACAGCCCAGACTAGAATAAAAATGGCGTCGATCTTTCATATTTCTATCAATATACAATTATCGAAGGCTCTGATATGAGAAACGAAAGGGTCAGGACAATTTTATGACAATTTAGAACACTCTGGTAATCGAGAAACTCGCATTTGAACGGGATAAAGGCAAAAAAAGTGTTGTATGCGCTTCTATGCTAAAACGATGGGAATACGAGGTCTCGGAGTGAAAATTTAATTGACCTGGAAATCACAGATGGCGCAGGGGGTTTCTTTGTAGTCAATTAGAGCCGCAGAAAACATGAATCCAGAGGATTTCTGGAGTTTTACTTCGATTTCTTTATAATTATTGTGTGATAACGACAGGTGGAGTATATCATTTAGTACAATACCCAATATACTTCGACACAGCTGTCAATACAAAAACAAACGTCGAGAACGGAGGTATTTAGAAAAATCTTTATTGACGTCGATCAAGTTCCTCGATGTGTTTCACTTCACCTTAAAGCCATTCTGCTTACTGAAAATCTGGGAGGGGGAGGTCCAATGCGAGGTCTAGATATACATGGTCTAAGGTCTGAACCGTTACCGCTGTTGATCGACTGGGTATACAACAGGGAAAGATGTTGAAGATAAAGTTATAATAGTTACACTAGAAGGCAACACAATCGATTAAGACTAGTAAACTGCTGTACCAAGGGTAAATAAAATCAATACAAAAAGGTTATCATCCGATGATATTTTATTAACGGTCGATATGCACGACAGGGAAAGATGTTGAAGATGGTTATAATTCTTACGTTAGATGGCAACACAATCGATTAAGGATAGTAAACTGCTATACCAAGGGTTGATAAAATCAATATAAATTGGTTATCATCAAATGGTATTTTATTAACGGTCGATTTGTTTCTACAATATTTTATTAACTAACGGTAATATAATGTTTTTTTAACAATCGATTAACAATCCATCGACACACTTCGCTGATATAATAGTTGGTCAACTTCTTAAAATATAATACGGCGAAGTAACATTACGCAAAAATAATGCAGAAAATTACATTATTTTACGATGTAATTATAATCTTAAATGAGACCAGCAACGGCCAAGTTCGGTAAAGGACGATGGAAATAAAAAGAGAACGTCACGTCGCATATCTACAATTTATTTTGAGGCTTATCAAAAGAATCAAAGTGTAAGAGTAATTCTCGTTATCTTGAAATTATTGACTTACCCGTTTTGATTTTGAGAATGGATTCAAATTGCTTAAAGCCATGCACTTTATTATTACTTTAACGTAGTCTTACTTCTTTAAGGCAGTACGAAGCACCATATAAGATGTTCCTGTAACATCGACACAACTTTGACACCCTTCGCACCACAAAGTAAAACACAAACCTAGCTATTTTTAAATTATCTACTCACCCACTTCAACTATCTCATTAAGAGAATAAGTAGAAATTGCTTAAAACCACACGCCTTGTTACTACTTCGAAGCAATCTTACTTCTTAAAGGCAGTACAAAGCATCATACAAGATGTTCCTGAAATATCGACACCACCAGAACCCTTCGCACCAGAAAGTAAAACACAGAGACCCGACAGGCAGTCAAGTTCCTTTTACTACAATTATATTTTCAATCTATAAATAATATTACGGTCGATTTAGTCGCATAATAGGTTCAACTTAATTGTTAGACTCTCGTCCTCGCTACGGAGCATTTCCCGATCGTGTGTAAACCCTCGCTTACGGCTACGCTTACTCTTACGACTTAGAGTATAATTCTTAAATGTATATACAGTCGAGTTTCGAGGCAGCCTCCTCGCCCTAGAGAAAGGCGCAAACCGATTATATTACAAGAGACGTCCTTTCGGAATTGGCTTCGCGTATTGAGACACGTGTAAATCGCCCCGACAGCTCGGCAGCTTAGAGGTTATGTACATGATTTTCGCCCGTATCCTTCGCCGGCCGGCGTTTCATTCTAACTTCTTCGATCGATTCCCTCTCTTCCATGGCATCGTAGCCCTGGAACGTAGCTTCGAGGAGGATCTTTCACTACTATCACATCGATGAACAGGTTCGCAGACATTGGTACGCAATGGAGTGACAGATGGGCTCAGAACGTTCTTCGAAAGGTGGAAGATCTTCCCTGATGGACTCACAAGTTCCTCGAGGCTTGTTCCATTACGAAGAGAAGCTACGAAGGGATGGGTACCACGCATTGACAAGAGTTTTACAATTTTACAATTTTACAATTTTCTCGGATTACAATTGACGTGGCTTCGGTCAAGGGGTGAGCTGCAGTTACTCGGACTGGGAACTACGAGTCCCTTGGAATCACAACATAAAGGAGCATGGTATCAGAAAGTAATCGTACAGAGTCCCTTGGCTGGGTTAGGATTTCTGTCAAAGGTTTCGTGGAGCCCCTGCTCCCTTAATCGCATTATAATTACACCGTGTCTACGCGTTGTTCCTAGTTTCTCTCTTCGGGCAGCATCGAAGCACAGCCAGACGGCACATTGGACAGAGCGCACCATGTTTCGCAATCACGCCACTATAAATGGTTCAAAAGTACTGCGAAACGTTCCAGAAACGCTGTGGGAGGTCACTGTTTCACACGATCTCGACCTATCAACGATTTTAACAACGACGTCCGATTCCTGACTTCGTGGACAATTTCTCAAGAGTTGTCGATAAAAGGAGTCGTCTCAAGTGACATAATTCGACTCCCCTGGATAAGCTAAATATCCCTTCACAGATTTCTAGGAGCTCTCTGGAGTACGGCTCCATTAAACCGCGGTTCTCACGTCTACGATTCCTTTCTAATCACTCGAAAACAATCTTCGTTCTATGGTCTGCTTCGACCCGTGGTCAATGTAAACTCTAACCTTACTTTTGTACACCATTCGATGACATCTTAAGATAACTTCAATCAACTCCACACCTCCAGCAAGAGGAGTTCTCGTCCTATTTGATTCTAAAACGCTGCAAACTCGATTACGTGCAATTCACGATTCCACATAACCTCACATATCTCCTTCGGAGCATAATTGCGGATGGAATGTTGGTGTCGTCTTGCATCGAAGGGGTTTTCACGAGTCCCTGGACACCAAAGAAATATTCTGCAAGCGCACTAGGCGGGAATAAACGGGCAGGCACCGCGACACCATCTGAGTCAGAGTCGAACGCAGCTTTCCTAACCTAAAACTCTCGTTTACATTTTAATTGAACTATTCCTTCGATATACGTTTGACATTAGTCGATTCGCTTCCACTAATGCGATTCTTTCGTTCCAGGCGACCGTGTAAATTACGTACAAGCTTCCTCTCGGTGAGCTCTGCGAATAAAAACGTCATACAAAGCAAATTGAAGACACTCGGAGCCTTCGCTTAATTTCATACAAGCCCCTGAAATAGCCCTTTCCCACATAGGAATTCACTTTCCAACAGAATCTGATCCTATCGGAGGCCTTTTAAACAGCCTAACAGCCGTCCATCGTTCAACTAATAGTGTTGAAGCAGGAATATGACCATGCGATCGATTAATTATTTAGTTATTTCATTATCTAAAGAAACAAGCGTCCGACTCTGGCCAGTATCGTTCACGTCCCTTTACAAGATCATCAGGTTGACAATCATGCAACGGTGCGAGAGCATTATATGGAACGGGGAGGCCAGGTCGACGGTGTCATTCATAGGCAGCGATGCAGGGAGTCCCATCGTTGGGCTCCGATTCAGCTACGCAGCTCTTATTTACAGCGGATTTCGTTCGGCACGCCTCCCTCGCGAGCTCGCGTTGGCAGTTCCCTAGCTGTAGTCCGTTTTATCGTCGTATAAAAAACTGTAAATTTATTGAGCGCTACCGTTGCACAATAGCGAGATCATTGCACCGTGTTTTACTGCGTTTCCGTTATGTGTCACTTACTCTCTCTCTCTCTCCGATACTCTCTGGGTCTCAGTGTCGAGCTACATACGTTTTCGTCACCTGTCACAAGTGATTCGATACACCTACCGGACCAGTGAAATGCACTCTCTCGGACCTGTCAAGCGCAGCAGGACCTTTGTCAATGTTCGGTCCCTTGATTCGCGCTGTCTTAGACGTTTGCAGACTTCTTCTTTTGCTGCTTCCACATGGAGATCTTCTCCTTCAGGTCCAACGCTGAAAAAGTGCATCCCAGGGTTAGATCAGATTGACAGCGAAAAGACCCTACACCCATCATGATGATTAAAGAGTCGAGTGAAGTATATATTTAGTGAGAAACTCTGTCGAATTATGCTACGTAGCAATTTCCTGAATTGCATTGATAATGGTAATGCTCTGTAGGAAATAAATGCCATATAATTATTATTCATCTGACAAACATACTTTTGGTAATTGTTAATCCTATCATGGTATCAAAACAGCTTGATAAAGTTCCATAAAATTACATTTCTATAATAGATTAAATATTGTTTATAAAAAATATTAAAAAATATTTCACGAGTATCAGGACCTTTCTTAAAACTTTACATTCACGTGGCAAAATTCCAAAAGGTTAGGTCCACCTAATACGGAGAAAAGTTTCATAATCCATTGACGTCTTCAGGCGTCATATTACCTTAAAATATCAAAGGCGCTAAGAAATTTAATCGACGTTGATAAATTATAATTCATCTATACCCTTTTTGGTGGTAATGCCATTTGGAATACTCAAATGGTAACATAAGCTGGCGCGTCTCGTTACCGACATTTATATTTATATTGAAGTCTTTTACAGTCTACGTTGAGACTTATACGAACGGAAGCATTCCATATGTCACTTCGGTAAAGTAATGATAAAAAGCTCGATGTAAAACTGTTGAAATCCCGTGAATTCACGACTGTTCATATTTTGACGGACCAACGTCGCCATCTGTGGCGTTTAGTTGCAACTAAATTTTTCCTCTAACACACGTGTCAGCCCCTGGACAAGCCAGCATTCTCTTGCAATCGTCGGTGAAAGTATTTTCCATATTTTCCCATTTGACTCTGCAATATTCCATTTCTATGGTATTCTAAATTGTTCAAACTAGGTCCTGATACTTTTCATTCTTGATTCTAACCCTCCAAGAAGCGTAAAACATCGAAAACGTGCATGGACCACACCACGTTAGCTCTAGTCCATAATAAATAAATTGTTGATGAAAAATGAAACTATGAGTTTTAGGACCTACTTTAAGGCCTCCATATTAACGTGGTAATATTTGAAACGAATCGGTACACCCAATTCGAGGAATACTTTTCCCAACGATTTGACTTCTCAAATATGTACAGGCTGACTCTTTCGCATCGTCTTAACGTTCCCGTAAAGGATTCCTGTCAGGTCGCTAGAAGATCGCTTCAAGACACTTATTAACACGTTGAATGCCACGATGAATTTTCTATTATACGATACATATAATATTGAAGTATCATCTGCAACGGGTAAGTTACAATCGATAACGATCTTTGACGTAGTAATTGCGCCGGGGGCCACCGGTGACCCCCGTGGCGTTGGAGTGCAACTTCGCGTTACTTTCGTTCGTAATATGCGCGGATAATAAATATATATTTTGAGTGTAAATAAAACTTTTTTTAGATGTTTTATACTGTATCCATTTCTTCACACTATTGCATTAACAATAGCAATAATAAAAATGTATAAGTATTGACATTTGCTTAAGTTATATATATATATTTCTATGAATCTGGGCGCGCCGCTCACTGGTGACCCCCGTGGCATTCAACGTGTTAAGGGGTTATACCACTTTGAAATCTTCAAAAAATCAAAAAAATTTGTATGCGTTTATTTTACGCGTTTATACTTTAAACGCGTTTTTCTTAAAACTGCATTTTAAAAGTCGGTGGGCACTCTAGCTCCGCTAATTTTCAATCAATCGTCTTGATTCTTTTTTATTTTATTCGTGATATGTTTATCTAGCGAAATACGTATGGTTTTTTCAATGTATTGATATTCGCGTTTTTTTATGCAACATTAATTAACGAAATTTAGGGCAAAGTACGTACGTTTTTCCTTTCAAATCGATGCCATTTTGTGAAAAATGCATATTTTTGAAAACGGCTACGTATTTCACTAGCTTTTTGGCTACGGAAACTAATTCTTTCTCGTTCATTGATCTAGCTTAAGCCTGGACTAAGTTATCGTGCCCACCGCACGTTTCAAGCCGCCATTTTTGTAAATAAAAAACATACAAAGAAATATATTTTGTTGTTTAATAGTAGTATAATACCATACTGTGCTTTAATTTGGATAAAAACGTTTTAATTCTTAAAAAAAATTCTTGAAAAACCGTAATTTTTGGGTGGGTCAAAGTGGTGTATAACCCCTTGACAAATCGTTTCAATGTTTCACTTCGTCTGAAGTTTTCTTTTTTTTTTCTTACCCATAATTTTGATATTATCGGAGTAAAGCTTACCGGGCTTAAGCATGTCCTCGCTGAGGGGCTGCCTGCTGAACGGGTCCGTCGCACTGTTTAGTAAATGCCTGACGATGACGGCTTTGTCCATGACGATGCCGGAGGGCAGTCTCACCGGATCCTCCATAAGGGTGTCCATAAGAGGATCTCGGAACTCCTCTGGAGCATCGCCATAGTCCTCGTCTCGGGCCCGGTTGTCTCTGGCGATGACGGCTGCTCGCTCGGCCAAAGCCACGAATCGCTCGATCTCCGTCCTCGTTTTGATTGCCGATCTCTCAAGCCGGTTGGCTGCGTCGGTGAAGAGCTCCTTGCAGAACGACCGCTGTAATACATATATATGTTCCCATTCGTATAAATATAAAACGAAAATATTCCCTATACCTCCACCGTACTCCCCAATCCGGGATTTATCGAATTCGGATCCACTAATTGCGTGTCTCCATCGCACTAATAAATCCGCAAATTTAAGTAAATTGCGTGTCTCCATCGCATTAATAATTGCGTAGATTCGATTCTAAGCATCTCGATCAACGCTTAAGGTGAAGTGAAATCAGTCGACTAGAATAGACACTTTTTTAAGGGTATTAGACCGAACTGTTCGCAACTTTGACACATGACTCGTGATCAGCTAAAAATTCTCCTGATACTTTCAAAATTTGGATTTTCGAAAGAAACATTTTTTAATTAGCCTAGAACAGAAACAAAATGCCGGCGAGTTCTCATATTTCGATTGATATCCAACTATTCAAGGTTGTAATATGAGAAACGAAGGTGTCAGGAGAATTGTACAACAATTTAGAACACTGTAGTATTCGAGAAACTCACATTTGAACGGGATAATGACAAAAAAAAAAGTGTTTATGCGCTTCTGTGCTAAAACTATGGTAACACAAGGTCTCGGAGAGAAAATTTAGTTGACAATGAAATCACAGATAGTGCAGGGTTTCTGGAGTTTTACTTCGATACCTCTTTAATTATCGTACGAAAACGACATATGGAGTATGCCATTTAGTATAATACCCAATACAATTCGACAAAGCTGTCAATATAAATCCAAACGTCGGTAATGTAGGTATTTAGAAGAATCACCTTTACCGGCGTCGATAAAATTTCTCGACGTGTTTCACTTCACCTTAAAAGATAGACGAAAAATCCCAGCTCACCTCGTCACTAGCCAGAGCGGCTGCAAAGTTATCGCAGTCGAGGTGCAGATAAATATCCACGAGTTGACTGAGGAGGGTCCTGGGCTCCCAGCCGTACTTCTGGGGTTTCCTGACCTTGAGGTTCTTGCACTTGGAGCCACACAACTGCTGCAGGTTGAAGTTGAGCATCGCGCCGAGACGGCCGACGAGTTCGGGCCTGAGGAAGGGCTCGGTGATGTCCACCGTTAGGTAGTGGAACATCGCCACAGTCTCCTTGGCCAGGGTCAGGTAGGACCTGGCCTGCCTCTCGTCGGCGGTGAGCTGCCTCGTCCTGGATTGCTGTTGCTCCTGGGAGAGAGCCGACCAGGACTCGAGGTCCGACATCAGCTCCTGCACCTCGTGAATCCTCTTCAGGGACTCCAGGCTCTCGTCCAGGAGGAAGGTCGTGTCGTTCATCAGCATGTTGATGAACTTGACGAACTGCTTCCCGTTGTTGCTCTCGTTGACAATCGACGCCCTGTGCACTGGGCTGTCCCACATCGACTTAAGGATCACGCTTATGTGGTAGCGGATCGAGAATTTGTCATAGAACTCCGAGCTCGAGCCCGTCGTCTCCACGTCCGTGTAGAACTTCATCAGGTACGAGGCCAGGTGCGACCTCGAGATCGGGTGGGACATCACCTGCTCGTGCAGCGACTCGGTCTTCCCCTGAAACGAGTTTGTCGGGTTGTTCCATGAAGCTGAATATAAATTAATATCATATATGAGCAGGGAGATGTTTCACGCCACTGCTTGAAAGCGAGGGATGGCCCACTGGCGCCCTCTACGCCCCTTTCACCCCTGTAAAAATTGGAACTACTTTCAAAGGGGCGAAATCTTCGTGATCGGTACAACAGGGTATACATGGGGACCGCGCTGAAATCTCCACCACCCACGCGTAACAAATTTATTTGGTAGTCGTAGTCTTCTTTCCCAATCTACATTGACCCTGATACTGAAAACGAAAAGGCGATAACTTCATCCTATTGGTACAGTGCTGTATTTGGAATCTGCAGATGTGTTTTTCTTTACCGATAGAGAACATTTCGCCCCTTTGAAAGCAGTTTCCCGGCGCTAGGGCCGTGCCTCGCTTTTTACAATGGCATGAAACAACTTCCCGCTTATCTCTGTTAACCCCTTGACATACAAATAAAACGGAATTTGATGCGTCTGAAAAATACTATTTAATTTGGCCGGAGACAGTTATTGACGTCTTGGAGACGTTAAAGTCTGCAATGGCACATGAAATGAATAGCGTCTCCCAGACGTCATTCTATGTCAAGGAGTTAATATCCTCTGGCATATACTTGTCGATTATTTCTACCAGCCAGCCTTGTGTCCACGATCAAAGAGATTTGTCAAAGTGCTTTATCAAATTGGCATGTTACTGGAAGTTTGATCGTCGACACGAGCGCCTTGGATGAAAAGCTTTGACGCGAAACTTTAACATGGCCTGTATCGACGATCAAAGGATTTTGTCAATGTTCTATGTCAAATAGGCGTATTGCTTAAAGTTTGATCGTCGACGCTATGAAAAACTTTGATACGAAACTTTGACATGGCTTCTGTCGATGATCAAAGAACTTTGTCAAAGTTCTATATCAAATAGATATGTTGCCAAATGTTCATTTGTCGGCACGAGCGCCTTGATCAACGACGTTTGATAGAAAACTGCTCAAGAATGGAAAGTTAAATAGATATGAAGTAACCTATTATAAATAGAGAATATTATAAATGGAGAATTAAATATATATATAAAGTTACGTATCCTCGTAATGATATAAAGTGTATGTAGTAATTGAACTCATTATTTAACGAGCATAATGCTTGGTTAAATGATAAGGCAGCATTGTAATACGGTTCTATGAGAGTAATAGCACCATTTTAAGGCATCCAAGACGAAGTAAAAGATTTAACAAAGTTTTTGATCATGGACACAGGCCTTTACGATTGCTTCACTGATCCAAGAAATGAATAAAAGATGAGTCTTCTTCAGGAAGAAATATTTCTACACTTAATTAAGTACCTGAACGCCAGGATTAATCACAAAGAGAACCTCGACGATCTTTGCAATGAGATATGGGTTCTTGATACAGTGTGGTGCACAGACGACGACCAGCAGCCAGGTGATGAGAGAGTTGTCCATGTTGTTCGCTACCACTCCAGGGCTGAATCTATTCCGATGATAAAGTTCTTCAATTTAATTCAAGCTCCAACTTTCATTCGGGGGTGGGTTACGCTACAACTTGATTTTCTTAAGATTATTGAGATTAGACCATCCTTCATCTCAGATATTAATCCATATCATTTGTCAAAGAATTACTTAATCAGATAAGCGTTCTTCTAGTTCCGATATTCACGTGCCAAGATGTAAAAATGTCAAACGGAAAACTGTTGAACATAACCTCAAAAGATAGCAACGGACTCTCAATGTTTACAAAGTAACTTTGAGGTTAACTATTTACTAACTCTTTTAATACTTAAATTTCATAAATTGACTAATTCCAATCGATTGAATCTCAAACACAATACTCACTGGAGGACAAATAGAAGGAACTCGGCGATATCCTCGACATACCACTCAGGAAGGGCAGCGAACTCATAAGGCACCTCCTGAGGCAGAGGTAGCTCCGGGATGAGGTTCCCTGGTGAACCAGAGAGCAGTCCGAGAAGCACTTCAGCTACCGAAGTGTAGAAGTGCAGACATCTTCTTAGGAGAACTGGGTCGACCAAGCCAGCATCGGCGCAGGATTTGGACTTGCCGAGTCTCTTGAGCTGCTGTTTCCACCTTCGAAGCAGCTCCTTGTTTTGACTCGCAAAAGGAGCGTCCTTCCATTGGGATTCAGTAGCTTGGAGCTCATCGAGCATCTTTTGGAGGTCTCGAAGAGCTCGCAGTTTTCTCTGGTACTTATGTAGTGCCGGCAACAGGGCAACGTGATGACAATGAAGCGTCAGGAACCAGCATTGCGTAGGGAATTTGGCCTCGGTCCACTTCTGGGAACGTTCCATCTTCTCGAGCCATGTTCTCACTTCCTGAAGGGACCAAACAATGGGAAAAAAGGTTAGAATTCTAGATTTTTCTGTCTGAGGTGATAAAGAGAGATAGAATTTTCTTAAACCTTGAAATATGAGAATTAATATAAATCCAACAGCCAAAAGTAAGCAGTTAATTAATACATTTGATGCTCCAAGTATTTTGACAGACTCTTCGTTCATATGACCTAGACCATTTAATGTTAAAAGGAATAATAGAGAATACTATATAGAACTATAGTATCGAATTGCTCAAAAATATAAAGCATAGAATATATTTTTTTTGTTCCCCAGCAGGGGAATTATGCCTCGTAATGTTGAATTTCGTCGCAATTATTCAGCATTTCTTGTTGAGCTACGCAACTCTCAGGATTGCACGTGTGTATTACACCATTATATAATGCATAATGATAACAATACAAGGAACAATTGTACGTCAATTTAGGAATTCCAATAAAGATCAGTTAATCTTTGAACAGATAGCGAAGAAATTTTGGCGAGAATTTACCAAGAATTATACAAAGAAATTTATTTTCTGCGGAAATTGCCTTAGCAACCTTCACCTCTGCTTCCCATGTTTTTATACATTTCATTGTAATACACCCACGTAATCATCTTTGAAATTTATAAATAAAAATACATTACATTGCCTATCAATTTATCATGCCTTCTTGATACTCTAAAAAAAAAAATAATATTCATGTAAATGTAAGTAATTGCGTATTATATATATTTTAAAACAATCATAGCATATCGGTCACCGTGTTATATGTACTTTAACACGTTGATCGCCACGTTGATCATCAGCGAACGGCAATCGCTCTGCACTGGTGACCACCATCAACGTGTCAAAACTGCATATCGATGACCACAGTGGCATTGAACGCGTTTAAACATTAAAAAGTAACAAAAGAAATACCTGAGAAGAGAGTTTAAGCCTGGTGTCGTACTTGATCTCCACTAAGCTGCATGGATGGAACGGATAGAGCGTGTCGACAGTGTCTAGTTTGATTTTGACGGAAAGAAGTTGCAGGACCGAGAGCAAGTTCAGCATGAACCCATCCCCGGCGAGGGCAAACTCCTCGACCTGGATCTGCGCTCGCTTTTTATTGTACTTCAGCAGCGCAGCGAGATAAGCCAGGGTAGTTTCCCGGCAGTTCCCATTGGCCAGGATGGCGTGCATCATCTTGTGGAGGGACGTCCTGGTGCTCTCGAGTTCCTGTTGCAGGGTCAAGTTCATCGACTTGTCGGTCGACGGATTCCCGCTGAAGAACTTCTCCGCCACCTTGGGCTGGTCCTCGGCGAAGACCGACACCGAGAGGAAGGGCCCCAAGAAGGAGGTCCTGGTGAGTTCCCTGCCCACGGCGGTGGTCATCGCTTCGGGCAGGAACTGCACCTGGTGGGTTATAAGTCGACATATCGGTCGAGCGTTACCCTGGGCTCCGCAGCGAATCTCGATGAGCTCCTCCAGGGCCTCGATGGGTCTCCGATGGGTGTTGCCCACCAGGCTGGCCTGCTGCATCGAGAGGTATAAACCCTGGAGAAGGGGCGTGAAGATCCTGTTGAAGGTCTGCGGATTGGAGTGGGTGCGGGCCACCAGCTCGTGCAGGAAGCCCCGAGGGAGGCTCTGGGAGAGAACCGGATACAGCAGGGGAGAAGAACACCGCGTCGACGAGTTCGAACTCGAAGAGGACGTCGTGTTCACTCCGATCACCTCCTGGAGCACCAGACTGGCGTGCTGCACGCATTGTGCTCGTAAAGTAGCTAGTGCATCGGACAGCGGAGGCACGCTGGAACGCTATATAAAAAGAATATGATTTAATACCAATCTAGATTTCGCATGGAATTCATTTTTAGGTTCATGTAGATTAAGGTCATCGAACATGAGGTCATCATAACCCATTACATGCCGGAAGCCTATTAATAGGTTTTTCGATACCCATGATCGCCATTCACCTCCGAATAAACATCGGAAGCCATTCATCGCTGATAAACAATGTGTTAAGGTGACGCGAAAGCGGTTTATGCAACTTTTCTCTGAACTAAAATCGTTTCAAACTTTACAACGTGAATGTGAAGGCTGTAAGAAAGGTCCTGACACCCATGAAATTTGTTTAAAAATTGACTTATAGGTATTTTTTAAACCTCTTATTAAAAATGAAATTTCATGGCTGTTAGGATCTTCCTTATGGTCTTCATATTCACGCTGTGAAGTTTGAAACGATTCGGTACGACCAGTTTGTAGAAAAGTTTTACGAACGATTGAGTTTTCGGATGCCGCTTTCACATCCTTTTAACCCTTTGGCTACTAAAAGCGCCTAAAGGGGTCCGACGTTTGGTCCAATATTGCCTGCACGGCTAGACGAATTTCGCCCATATGTCGAAATGGCTCCGTGTTCAAAGGGTTAACTGGAAGTAGAGGAAAAAGTGTGGTTACCTTGGGGTGATTTCTCTCTTCTACGGCGATTCTTGAGTAGCAATCGAGTAAATAGACCAGGCTTCTCGGCTGAAGAGACTTGGTGCCAGAGGGCATGGAAAGTGTCGGCACCGAGCGAGGAGCAACGACGATGCCCAGCAAAGGACTGGCCTGATTGACGGGACTATCTTCGCCGTCCGAGGGAGGGTCGACGAATATCTCCTCCAATGGATCGGCGCCTCGCGTGAACATATAGAGGACCTCCATGAGGGCTTGGCTGACAATTTCCGTCACTTCTGTCACCTTCTGCACCTCGACTACCGCTGCTGTTTCCGGCAAGTATATGCTTCCCTCCGCAGGCTCTTTCCACGAAACGCAGAGCACGCGCGATATCACTGTGTGTATCTGATCCACCGTCACTTCTATACTCGAACTCGTCGTCTGAAAGCGTCAAATAACAGCGATAAGCTTAAGGTGAAGTGAAACACGTCGAGGAACTTGATCAACGTAGATAAAGATGATTTTTCTAAATGCCTACGTTGCCGACGTTCGTTTTTATATTGACCGCTGGGTCGAATTATATTGTGTATTGTACCAAATGGCATATTCCACCTGTCGTTTTCGTACAATAATGATAAAGAAATCGAAGTAAAACTCCAGAAATCCTCTGGATTTATGCCTTCTGGGGCCCTAATTGACTGCGGAGGGACCCCCTGCGCCATCTGTGATTTCCAGGTCAATTAAATTTTCACTCCGAGACCTCGTATTACCATCGTTTTAGCAAAGAAGCGCATACAACACTTTTTTTTGCCTTTATCCCGTTCAAATGCGAGTTTATCGATTACCAAAGTGTTCTAAATCGTCGGAAAATTCTCATGACACTTTCGTTTCTCATATCAGAGCCTTCGATAATTGTATATCGATCGAAATATGTGAGAGCTCGGTGCCATGTTGGTTCTGGTCTAGGCTAAGTCAAACAAAATTTGTTTCGAAAATTGAAATTTTTAAAGGGTCCGGATAATTCCTAGGTGATTACGAATCAAGTGTCAAAGTTTTGGACAGTTCGATCCAATACCTTTAAAAAAAAAAAAGTGTCTTATTCTAATCGATCGATTTGAGGGGCGTTTCATTTTACCTCAATACGTTACGCGCTATATGAATTCCCGTTGTAGGAAATCGTACTGTACGGTAATATTTCACGTATATAATGTGTTTTGTTAATTAGCGCGTTGTATGAAAACAGTAGTTGCAATATCTTTGGCGCGTTATAGGGATTCGCTTTGTAAGAACTCGCGTTATACGGGAGTCTACTGTATACCTGTTTCCAGATTAAATGAATAATGAAATGAGTAACGGGTCGCATGATATCCCTTAACAACAGACATGCTATTTTAGTAACGTGAACATGTACACGGGGTCTCGGTGATTGCCTTAATTTTCTCACTGTAAAGTGCAAGTAACAACTAAACCGTATGACTGTTAAGTCTTTTAGGGAAGGTTAAGGTGATACCAAAGTGGCATGCAAGGGGTAAATGGGTTAAGCCCTTTTTTTACGAACTGGATGTACCGAATCGTTTGAAATTTCTCCACGTAAATATGGAGGTCCTAAGGAAGATCTTTACGCCCATGAATTTTCAGGTTTGTTTAATTTTGTTTATGCAAATTGCACGCAACGTTGTGTGGCAATGTGTTGTTGGCATATGCTATCCTAAGCGATCCTTGGTTGCTTTTGACGCGCAAGGATCCAATTTTTTTTGATATTATGACTGAGGTGGTCGCGATCCTTCCGATTTTTCATTACTCTCTTTTGACTCTTCGAAGACTGGTTTCGATCTGATGCTAGAGAATTATGTTTGTTAGCTAGAGGTTTAAGTAAATGCATCGCGATTAGTGCAGGCAGTTAAGATGTCGGCTGTCTTGTCATGGGTGGAAAGAAACAGGGGCCCGAAATTTCCCCAAACGTGAGGTAGAGGGCGTAGACTAAGATTTAACGGTACATCGGTAAAGGTATGTACACTGGGAGACATCAATGCCCTCCCAACCTACACAGGCGATGCCGTATCTGCGGGGGAGGCATTCATGTCCGCCATTGTACATCACATTTTTCAACTAGATGCGAGGGCTTGGAGCGGATTAGCGTTTATGACACGGTCACGAGAATTACGAAAAAGGGAAACTATTGAAGAATAAACTTTGTACTCATTCTTTTAAATTCGAAGGTTCCGCGGACGGAAATTCCCTCACTGCAGGGGCCATAAATGTCCCTTCTTCCGATCGACGCGATTAAGGACCTCGGACGACCCGCTGAATACAATTAGTCATTGTTAGATCCAGAGTTTTAGGACCTTCCTTATAGTTTACAAATTTATATTGTAAAGTCTGACAGAATTCGGTACACCCAGCTCAGAGAAAAGTTTCATAAACGAAACATCTTTGACGCCTCTTTCACATTACCTCAAGTATTGTGGCAACCAAATAGAATTAATAGAAGTTATGGAGAGGTTGTACTAATAAAAAGTATGAAGAGAAAACTGAATGGGGTGTATGATCGGGTCTAGCCGTGTCTGTAGTTAAAGGATAATATGAGTCTGGATATCTAATGGAAATAAATGAATTTAGGGAGATAATTAAGACAAGTACCCTTGATCGAGGTGCAACCTCTTTTCTGTCGGACTCGTCAACCTCCATATTCTCTATACCAGAATCCACGTCAACCCCAGACATATTGCATTGTTTTTCGTTGTTGTCCTCGACTTCCATCGGGGCTTCTTGCTGCTGTGGCTGCTGCGACGTTTGCCGGACAATCGGTGAACTAACGGGTCCCGGAGACACTTTTGAAGGACCAGGCATACTCGGAGACGTGGCACCAGCATCGCTACTCGAACTTGCAGGGCAATTTGTTTCTAGACCGGCCAAACGGGCTAACCGCCTTCTCCGAATCTGAAAGAACAAACATAACTTAAACATCTACAGCATTGTTGTATCGTGAGCACTAACCTCAAAATCATAAATGTACTGGATTGGCTATAAATTCCTATGACACTGACGACACAATTTTGAAATTGATTTCTACTTATTTACTTACAACTTCAGTCATATTTTCTATTTCAATCTATAACTTGTACTCATCTATCGGACAGCTTCTCGATGCTTCTCTGAAAGCTTTCTATACAATTTTAGAAATGAAATTATAATGTGTCGCAGGATGTTTCAGCCAGCCCAATATTACTTGTTTCAATTTCAATTTATCATTAATATATAAAGCTTATAGCTTACAAACAGTCCTTAGTGCTTTATGAAAAAGGAAACAAAACTTCTTTTTGTATTTCTCACGAACAGGGGTATCTTTTGAGGTTAAATATCCTTCCATAATGATATTCAAAAACAAACACCCGATTCTTTGTGTTCGCCAACGTTAGGCAGCCAGGATGCGAGCAACGACCGCGTTGTTTGCTTCTTGAAACTGTGCCAACTCCACGAGGTCCCAGCTTTTTAAAAGAATGGCACAAAGGGAATGCCACCCCGATATTTACAAACAACCGCAAATGTTTTGTTACGCTCTCCCTTCTTTTACCTTCTTCTCCCACTACGTTATTAAATATTAAAACTTCCAAATCATCCTCTCATTATGTAATGCTTATTAATAAAGAGACGAGACAAAGGAGCGTACAATTGCGTTTCCTTTGACCGTTCCAATTCTTGAAACTATTTCCAACGACGCATCCGCTCCCTTTAAGGAACTTCCTTTGTCCACGTTTCTCTTCATATAAAACAAAGATGCAGAGAACCGGTCTTTAACATTTTACCAAACGACCACAACGGGATGATGCTCCGATTTCCCTCTCTCGACAGTTTTCAGATACTCGCAGCGATCGTTTGAACAAAGCTGCTGCGAAGAGCCAAGGCTTGGATCGCAGTTATATAATGTTAGTGAAAACAAGCCTCTCATAGCATGCAATTTCCATGAAAAATTCAATCTCTCCTTTTCGCTCTTCTCCAATTTTCTGTGATAGCATTTTTTATTTCCCTTGTAATTGTCGTATTTATACGAGAATACTCTGAGAACGAAGTTTGAGAGAGACGAGAAGCGCAGAAAAAGGAGCTCCAAAAGAGAAAAAAAGACAACACGCCGTATACAGACCCGCACCGAAGCAAAGGGAGTAAACGCAAGGACAAAAGTGTCCCCGAATGTCGCACTCACTTCTTCCTGCGTTAACTCGCTCATATCGAGACTCGTTGCGCGCAAAACTCCGGGACGTTCTGGCGATGCTCGGAGGTGGGTCCGCGTCGTGGATTCTCGCCAGCCGAGTGCGCGTTCCGATACCTCCGACGCCTGGAGAGAAAGCAGCTCTCAGTCGTCGAACTCGCTGGCTCGGATGTGTCAGAAATTTGGACAGTCACTCCACATCTGTTTTGGGGTTTATGGGTTTGGACGTGGAAGCAGCTGTGTCGCGCCCGCTCACGGAGTGGATTAATCGCTGTCTCCGCAGTTGGACGTGTTGTAGGATAAAACTTTGCGAGGGCGCCACAGTAGCGTAACGAGCGCGGCCGAAGATAGCCGAGAGTAGTCGACAGAAGGTTTGTTCGTTTTGTCCATAGAGACTAGAGACCAGGGCGTTTATTACGTCATTTTGACGAGAACGCTCACTTCTCGCACTTTCTTCTCATGTGGGTTTATTCGTCGAATTACGTGTTCGTTATATGAAAGAACGAGATTACTAGCACTTTCGGTCTAGTAATATTGCAAATAAAGGTACATACCTTGTAAATAAAAAATTGTTGAGAGGTATTGGGTGCATTCAGAGGAGACAACTGTTGAGTGATCGGTTAGCGCTCATCTGCTGAATGGGTACGTTCACTCAACATGTTTACTGATCAGACGCCATTTTATATATCATAAATTTTCTACGCTACCTGCGCTCAACGTGTTGGGTAGATCAAATTCAAATTCAAACCGTGTAAATTCAAGTTAAAGAAGCAAGGATGGCAAATAAAATCAATTATTACAGTGAAATGTATGAAGTAAACGGTCTTCAGTACGATGTAGTAGAGAGTGCAGAAGTGCATAAAATGTTACAAAATGGTACGTTATTTCGAAATGTATACTTAACCTTAATCTAATGTATTCTATCTTCCTAATATAGAACAAAAAACTAATAATAAATAAATAATTAAGTTACAAGTTAAGTTGTCAGTCAAGTTGAACATGTGAGTGTTTTTTTTCAGACGTTTCATTCTGTTACGAATATTTTTCTAAAAATATATCATCTATAGAAATTGTTGATGTATGTAACGAAAAGGTGCAAAATCGTTCAGGTAATGAAATAGCTGAAATAATACACGACGTACATGTACTGTAAGCACTGACTGCTAATATAATTAATATAATTAATATAATTATATTAGTAGTNTAAAGGAAGGTCTTGACATCCAAAATATTTCAATTTTTTAAAAATTTGTTATAAAAATTGAAATTTCATGAGTGTTAAGACCTTCCTTATAGCCTAAATAATTATATTAGTAGTCAGTGCTATAAGGAGGTTGGGTTACATACACTGGATGCTGTCATATTATCATCACTGAACAGTCCATTCGGCAGAAAATCGCAACATGTTCCCAACTCATCGGTAACCGCTTGTCTCCTCCGAATGCACCCAATGAGAACGTTGGCAATCGGGTGTACGCTTGTCTGTGCAACAGGAGTGCGCAATAAAGAGTAATTTGCGTATGTCAATATGTATATTGCTGTCAACCAACTGTCAAGAACTTACTGCGCACGCGACCAGCGCAGAGAAGCGTATTCTCATTTACTCATTACCTCAACTCATTTACCATAGTTCTTGTTCTCTCACCGTTCTGCGAGCGGCACTCAATGAATGGTTCATATATACGTCCATGGACGTGATTTATTGCAGCGCTGACGTATTAAATTGCATTCCCTTCCCTCTTTTGTTTTTTTAGTACGGGCAAACGTTTTATAAAAATATTCCAACTTTTTAACTCGCACTATAATTTTCTTAACCAGGCCAGATTATGCCAAAGAATTCAGAAGTCCCTTAGAAGCCCAGATCCTATGTTAGCGCTTGATGCTCTAAAAGTTGGCTAACAAACCAGAAGTGGGGGTAAAAGAGAGATCGCGTGTGTTAGCCAACGATATTTCACATACGAGGAAGGGAGACGCATATAGAAAGGCGAGTATTGTGGGTAAGATAAAGAAAGAATGCAATTCGCTATATATCGCTATAAGATTAAGAGAGATGGAGAGATGATTACAGCGCCGCCATCCGTTGGTTAACGTACTATTTATATATAACCGCGGAAATTGAGGGGAAGGTGTATCTATAAATAACCGGAATCCAGCCGCACGTTATCACCCGATTGATACTAGTTAACAAGAATCAATATATGTTATTAAATATATAAGGAAAGGCATTCGTCTCTACACGGTCTCACTTTCCACCCTCCATTGTTAAAATGTACAAGTTGTAACAGTTGGACATCTAATCGTACTGTGTAAAACGCTATTAAGTTGTATTATTCTAAAAGGATCGCTCGTGAAGTACTCCTCGACGACTGTCGAAGGCATCTGCGAAGGTAAAATCCATTTTATGATAATTGTAACGTATTCGCGTGTACAGAAAAGTATGTAGAAAAGAAGCTGATAGAAATTGGGCGCGTAAAAAATGCACAATCTCGCATTCACTGGACACATGGAACTCGTGTATAAATTCTACAAGCATATGTAATCTACATACAGCCTATTAGATTGTATACGGCTCTTGTATGTTCCATGTTGGATACATTTTTGTATACCCTATGAAACATGTAAGTCATGTAAACGCGATAAATAATTCCGTGTCCTAATAATGGGGTCGTGGATTTTTTAAGCGCAATATAAATAATTCGAGTTGTGTTTCTCGTTCCGTTCGTTCAGGCACTTTTGTACAGTCGACATGCCGGAGGAGAGCTGTTAAAATTGTACTCTCGGGGAGATAATTGTACTCTCTTAGCATTTGAACTTGTAATTACGATGTCTCTCGATCAATTTCAGTGGCATCGCTCGATAAGGAAAAATCTCTCACTGGGCATCGATCGACAATTATGCAAATAATCCGCCCGTGTGTACAGATAAACATATAATAAACCCGATACAATTTGCGCGAATAAAAAGTATACAATCTTAGCATTCGTTAAGTATACAGAACTTCTGTGTTTCAACTTTGTCGTATGTAATTTACATATCACTCTTTTGTACATTCCATGGGACAGCACGCCATGTAAACGGAATTTACAGTTCCATATGTTTAACTTTAGGTAACAAATTGTAATGTTTTTTAAAGCGCAAGGTAAATTCGCATTATTTAATAATCGGCGTATCCAGGCACTTTTGTACAGTCGACATGAGAAAATTCGGAGAGGATTGTACAGTGTGTTAGGATGTGAACTCGGATAAGGTACTTATGGCCCTTTATCAGTTTTTACATTTTTCAGATGTTAAATAATTTCCAGCACTTAGTATTCCGTTCATTCCCGCACTTTTGTACAGTTAGTATAAGAAAATTCAGAGAGGACTGTACCGTTTTACGATATAATCTAAGGCACGGTATTTGTGATGCTTTATCATTTTTCTGATATCGAGTAATTTGCATTATTTTATGTTTTACTCATTCAGACACTTTTGTATAATCGATAAATAAATACTTTTGCAGATAGTTGTGGCCGTTTTAGGTCGTGAACTAAGGGAGCGATACTTATGATCCCTTACGATCTTTTTATTTCTTAAATACCACTTAATATTTATGAGTAAAACGTTAAATAATTTTCAGTATTCATTGTTCACGGTCGAATGCTTCTGTACAGTCGATATAAGAATATTTATATAAGTGTACTATTATCGTATGCGAGCTCAAAAAAGGTACTTATACCCTTTTATTATTATATAATTTCTTGAATATTAAACAATTGACATCATTTACTGTCCAGCTCCTTCAGGCACTTTCGTACAATTATAAAAAAATTCGGAGAAGATTGTATCGTTTTTAGGACGTGAACAAGAAAGGCACCTAACGACCCAGATAGAAATTCATGACCATCATACGATGAGGGAAACCGATTTACAAACAATTTGTAGACCATTGTTGCATGAAATATCCGCAATATATGTACGCACATTACACGATAAATTTGAAGACAAATTTTCGGCAAATTTGTCACGCCATGGCTAAAATATGAGCCACAGACGCTGCAATTGTTTATCAGCAAAGCTTGAGATAAATTTAGCTGTACATATGCGGACAAACATTGAGACATTGCATGTACTTAACTTTGTTTCATATTTAAGTATTTTATATGAGTTCCAAATGAGGACTCATAAGCAACACCCTCATGACTCGTTTCATGATATTTTATGAGGCAAATTTGATGCAAATTTTGCATCACTTTGTCTATCTGGGGACCCTTTATTAAATTCTAGGTCGGGTTATCGCTTTATCGAGAAATCTCTAATTGAGCGTTTAACGGGAACAATTACGCAGAAAATCAGGGAAAAAATGAACAAATATCGATCAACGATCACATACAGAATCCGCATTCGAGTCGTACGCACGTATTACTCAATCAACGAGAAAGCAAGAACAAGATCCGCCCCACAAACTCGGCAAACCAGGATCACGTAATAGCCGTTTATATGAAGGAAAGTACAGAGGAATTAAACCACATTTAGACATTTAACAGGTAGACCTGCGAACACGTGCGTACAGCACTTACACTTAACCGATTAATGTAAGATTTACTGATTAAGCCTAAGGTAATGTAAAAGTGCCGTCAAAAAGGTCTCGATTATGAAATTTTTCTCTTAACTGTGTGTATCAAATCGTTTCAAACTTGACAATGTGAATATAGAGGCTAAAGGAAGGTCTTGACATCCAAAATATTTCAATTTTTTAAAAATTTGTTATAAAAATTGAAATTTCATGAGTGTTAAGACCTTCCTTATAGCCTCTATGTTCATGTTGTAGAGTTTGAAACGATTCGGTACCCCCACCTCGTAGAAAAGTTTCATGAACGATTGAGCTTTCAGATCCCCTTAAGGTGATGTAAAAGTGCCGACAAAAAGGTCTCGATTATGAAATTTTTCTCTGACCTGATTGTATTGAATTGTTTCATAGTTGACAATATGAATATGGAGCCTATAAGGAAGGTCTCGAAATCCAAAAAATTTCAATTTTTTTTAATTTGTCATAAAAATTGAAATTTCATGAGTCTCAAGACCTTCCTTATAGCCTCTGTGTTCACGTTGTAGAGTTTGAAACGATTCGGTACCCCCGGCTCGTAGAAAAGTTTCATGAACGATTGAGCTTTCAGATCCCCTTAAGGTGATGTAAAAGCGTCGTCAAAAAGGTCGCGATTATGAACCTTTTCTCCGAGTTGAGTGCATCGAATTTTTTTAAATTTGACAATATGAATATGGAGCCTATAAGGAAGGTATCGAAATCTAAAATATTTCAATTTTTTAAAAATTTGTTTATAGGTATTTTCATAATTTATTATAAAAATTGAAATTTCATGAGTGTCAAGACCTTCCTTATAGCCTCTATGTTCACGTTGTAAAGTTTAATGAACGATTGAGCGTTCGGATGCCACTTTTAGATCCCCTTAGAGAGTGCACGTTAAATCGGTACCGAGAGAGACCGATCAGCAAAGAGCTCCTCGGAGGTGACCGGGCCGAGGTCCATTCCTTAACAAACATTATGGTACAATTAAATACAACGGCGTGTTATCGGAAACGGTCGCGCTGATTCTGCCTTCGTTTCAACAGGAAAAACGGGGATTCGACCCGGAAGGATGGTCATCGGATGAAGAAGGGACCTTATTTAGACCGCCATCCGCAACGGGACGACCAAAGTCGAAATTTTGACCTTATCTTGAACCTAAGTAAGTCCTTTTTTGCTCCTATTTCCCTCTTTAAATCCCACTTTGAACCATGTACGTCCTGCTCGATACAAATGAATGCGTTACTTTAGGTCTACAAGTGGAAGAAATGGAAATGTCTGCCACTTTCAAGGTTTAAAGTAGGACCTCAATTGTACAGAAGAGTTAACGTTCTTTGTATCATCCCCAAGTCCATTTAAGGCCTACGATTGGACGCTATAAGGATCAGAATTTCGACTCAGGGACGACGAGGATTATGCGTTAAAGCGTGTGGATATGACGATTTCGAAGTGTTATGCTGCGAAGTTGGTGCTCCGTGGTCCTTTCGAGTTTGGGACCAGCTTTGCGCGATGTGTCCATTCCGCGGGAAAATCGGGAGACCACATCGGGAACTTCCTCCAGGACTCGGCCTGGGTCCTGATGCTGCTGTCGCGACACACATGCTCTTCTTCAGGACCTGGTCCTCTCAGTGGTTGCTGCTGTTCTTCCACACGAGGTAGATGAAGTACGCGCCGGCTGCGTAGGCGAAGGTGTTGAAGATTCCGAAGATCTGGAGTAGGATGCAAATATAGAAATTAATGTACGGGTTAAAACAGATATATTAGTAGGGATTTACAGATCCTGGGATCCGATTCTCGAGTTCGTACGATCAACTTTCGCGGACTAATGTATTGGTCCATGATAAACAAATAAGTTTTTTTTGTACAAAATGTATCATGGACCAACATGGCATGGTCCGGGTACGTTTTTCATGTTTCACGCTTCTTGATAGCGTAGAATCGTAAATTAAGAGCTTCAGGACCTACCTCGAACTATTTAGAATACTATAGAAATTTAATATTACAGAGTCAGGTGGGAAAATATGGAAAATACTTTCACGAAAGATTGCAAGAGAATGCTGGCTCGTCTTGGGGCTGACGCGTGTTTGTAGAGGAAAAATTTAGTTGCAGCTAAACGTCACAGATGGCGACGTTGGTCCTAAACAGTCGTTAGAATAATGAATTCACGGGATTTCGACAGTTTGACGTCGATCTCTTTATCACTGCTTTACCGGAATGGCATATGGAGCGCTTCATTTCGTATAACTCTCAACGTAGACTGTAAAAGGCTTCAACATAAATATAAATGTCGGCGACGTGACGCGCCATCTTATGTTACCACTTGAGTATTCGAAATGACGTTACCACCAAAAAGGGTATAGACGATATTTCGTTTTATCGACGTCGATTAAATCTCTCAGCGCCTTTCATATCACCTTGATGTGATATGAAAGTGTGATATATACATACCAAAAAGTTAAAGTATTTATAAAACTTTTCTCCAAACCGTGTGCACTAAATTATCTAAAACTTTAACGCATGATTATGAAGGCTCTAAGGAAGAACGCGCTGCCCGTGAAATTTCATTTTTCGAAAAAAAAAAGAAAAAACAATATCTTTTTTAGTTCTTGTCCGAGATAAGTACATTTTTCTCGAAAAAAGAAATTTTACGAGCAGCGCGTTATTCCTTAGGGCCTCCATAATCCACGTGTTAAAGTTTCAGATAAGTCGGTGCACACGGTTTGGAGAAAAGTTTTATAAATATTTTGACTTTTTGTTATGTATATATCATAGCTTAGAAAACGCAGAAAAATCGTCCAATCTCGATGGCCTTGTTAAAGTTGACTTCACACATTCAAGAGGTTCAGAAATTGTCCAATTTGATGCACCAAGCTGATCATCGCAGATAATGACTAGGGCTGAGTTTCTTAATTACACTTTCGTATCACCTTAAGGTGAAGTGTAACCCCCTTCAAATTCAAATCAGTCAATTCGAATACAACCCTTTTTTTTTAAAGGGTATTGGACGAAACTGTCCGAAACTTTGACACATCACTCCTGATCATCTAAGAATTGTCCTGACACATTCAAAATTTGGATTTTTGGAAACAATTTTTTAACTTGGCCTAGACCAGAACCAAAATGGCGTCGAGCTCTCATATTTCGATCAATATACAATTATCGAAGGCTCCGATATGAGAAACGAAAGGGTCAAAACAATTTTACGACAATTTAGAACACTCTGGTAATCGATAAACTCGCATTTGAACGGGATAAAGGCAAAAAAAGTGTTGTATGCGCTTCTATGCTAAAAGGATGGTAATACGAGGTCTCGGAGTGAAAGTTTAATTGACCTGGAAATCACAGATGGCGCAGGGGGTCTCTCTGCAGTCAATTAGGGCCCCAGAAAGCATGAATCCAGAGTATTTCTGGAGATTTACTTCGATTTCTTTATAATTATTGTACGAAAACGACAGGTGGAGTATGCCATTTGGTACAATATCCAATATAATTCGACACAGCTGTCAATATAAAAACGAACGTCGCCAACGTAGGCAATTAGAAAAATCATCTTTATCGACGTAGATCAAGTTCCTCGACGTGTTTCACTTCACCTTAAGTTTATTTATGTTTTTTATACTGACCCCAGCCGCTATGTTCGCAGCACTCCTGAAGGCACTGCCATGGCCAACCCAGAAGGAGAGCTGAGCGACGAAAGCCGTCAGATACAGAGCAGCTTCCAAGGCGGTGTTTAGCAGCTCCTGAAATGATGAAGATTGATAAAAAATTCGTTCTTATCTCCGAAGACCGCGGATTTATAAGAGAGGCTCCGTGTCCAAGAGACTCACCGTGAGGAGCCAGTTGATGGGCAACTTGAGGGCCTCGCGGATGGAAAGAAGATAGATGAAGGTCCAGATGAGACTAGCGATGAAGGCGGTGACTGCCACGAAGAGAAACCAATATGTCGCCCCAACGTAAGCCGGGGATGCGCAGGCCATGCAAATTATCCCGATGCCCTGGAAAAATCGATTTAAATGTTAATTTAATATTACAATTGTAAAGTACCCTAGTAGCATAGAATAATTTCTAAATATTTCTTTGTAATCTTTGCTAAATATCTAAAGCGACAGATTTTTTAAGATTTCTTGTAGATTTCATTCGAAGATATTTGAAATATTTCTTGAATATCTCAATGACATATTTAGTTTCAATAATTTATAAACATATATAGAAATTATATTTTTTAACTTATTAACACAATAAAAATACATTTTTTACTTCACGACTATTATCGCACACTTTATTTGGTATCAAAAAAGACGAGAAATTATTGTAATACTTTCATTCCGCTATTTCATTATGGGAGCAAAACGTGTGATTTTTATTTTAAGTATTTTTAAAACGTTTATAATATATTCGGGGGATAATATTTAAAAAATACTCGTATTAAAATGAAACGCAATGTATTGTATATCTGGTAGAAAAATATTATGAAAACACATGGAGGTAATATTATATAAATATTATAGGGATAATATTCTAAAGTAAACGTTTTGCAAATATTTCAAATGTCTGGTAAATATTTACAAAATGTACGATATTCGTTAAATATATAGAAAATATAGGACAAATATTTTCTGTTATTAGGGTAACGATTAAATTAAGCCTTGAAATTAGGCCAACAGGGTACAAGTAAACGTTCAGGCATTTATTTTTTATTATTAAATAAAAAGGGTGTTACAAGCGAGAGAGGATCTTAGCGATCACCCACCAAAAACGTTACGTAACAATATAACCGTTACATAACATTTGTAACATGTAACATACATATAATATATAAGTATGATTTGTAATACTATTTCCTGTGTAGCTATATAACACTGTTATACAACGAATAATGTAACGTATACATTACACATCGGTAACGTGTTATATGTTATGTTAATATTATGTAACTGCAATGCTAACAAGTTTGTAACAATGTTACCGAAGAAATTGGATATGGAAATTAGACAAGCGTTAAGTCTAAGTGGTATTTTATTTTTTTTCGAGATTGTTACCATATAATGTATGTCGTTAAATTTACAAAGTTTCTTTAGTAACTAAATTATGCGATGACTAATTTATTTATTAGACGTGATGAACTACATATTTGCGAGCTGCTCTCATGTCTTTTATCTTATCGCGTCCAAGGCCGAATTTTTTATTGCAATGTTATACATATACAGTCACGGTTGATCGAAGACTGACCGAAGTCCCTAAAATTAGAACGATGATTGTTGTAAAAATGTTTTCCCTCTTCTATCGATGATTTAATGTCCGATATCGCTCATATATCTCGAGGTCACTCGGTAAAATAACTAAATTCCCTGAAAAACGATACGGTGAAGGAAATTATCGTTATACCAGTTACAAAGGCATAATAAACCAATACTTGGTACAAGAAATAAATTCCTAAATAAAAAATAAAAAAGTGGAAGGTATTGTTACAAAGTATAAGTAGTACTATATAAACAAGCTGAAATAAAATATATAAGAATCTTCCTCCACAAATATCTGTGAATTTATTAATTCCAATTATTTCGTTCTTCTTTCTTGTTCTCTTAAATTCCAAGATAGAAATTCGCGATCGTCGTATGATGAGGAAAATCGAATTATAAAGAAATTCCGGTAAATTTGTTACGCCATGGCTTAAATATGAGCTACGGACCAGGTAGACAAAGTGACGGAAAATTTGCATGAAATTTGCCTCATAAAGGATCATGAAATGAGTCATGAGGGTGTTGCTTTCGATCGATTTACAAAGAATTTTCGGTAAATTTGTTACGCCATGGCTCAAATATGAGCTAAAGACCAGATAGATAAAGTGACGCAAAATTTGCATGAAATTTGCCTCATAAAGGATCATGAAATGAGTCATGAGGGTGTTGCTTATGAGTCCTCATTTGGAACTCATATCTGCAGGACACAACGACGAACCAAAAATACTTAAATATGAAACAAAGTTAAGTACATGCAATGTCTGGATGTTTGTCCGCATATGTATAGCTAAATTTATCTCACGCATTGCTGATTAACAATTGCAGTATCTGTAGCTCATATTTGAGTCATGGGAACATGGAGCAACGTCATATTTAGCTCACATTTGTGGCACTAACTAACTTCATACAATGTCCGCAAATTAATGTCATGGGATGACCTTAAATTTTCCATAAATTTTCAGTTCATAAATGTCGATTATGGCATAACTGGCATATAACTCGAGTATGCGGTAAATATATTGCTACAACCATTTATGACAAATTTATCGCAAATTTTCCTTCAAATTAATTGCGTAATATGCGTACATATATTGCAGACATTTCATGCAGTAAATTGTTCGTAAATCGATTTTCCTTATCATATGATGATCATGAATTTCTATCTGGGAGACGTTGCAATTGCTTATCAGCAAAGCTTGAGATAAATTTAGTTGCACATATGCAAATAAACGTCGAGACAATGCATGTACTTAACTTTGTATCATATTTAAGTATTTTTTACTTGTCATTGTGTAATGCAGATACGAGTTCCAAATAAGGACTCACAAGCAACACCTTCATGACTCGTTTCATGATCTTTTACGAGTCAAATTTCATGCAAAATTTGCATCAATTTGTCCATCTGGGTTATTATCAAAAGACAAAAAGGAATCATTTTCGGGGAAATTGGAGGGCGGAAGACTTTTGATACAGGAGAACATTTTTCCAATGAAATTTGGGAACCCGATTAGGGTTTTTGAGAGCTACCCTGGCCTCTTCGAGGCATTTTTTAAAATTCCCTAAATCTCGTTTTCTGACCTCGACCGGACTGACATCGTCGGTCGGTTCCTGGATTTTGGGCTCGATCTTCTCTTCCTGAAGTTCCGGCAATTTCGAGGCCACGGCCACCCTGAAGAAGGTCTCTTTGAACTTGGAAATCTGTCCAGCCCTTTCCATCTTGACGACTCTGTCCTCGTTTAACTGGTCCAAGGGTCTCTTGACTTCGAGCAGTTCCTTAGGAGAGAATCCTTTCTTCCTCAGGAGGATCTTCTGCATCCTCTCGTGATCGTTCTTCCTCCAGATGGCATCCTTCGATAGCTTGATCTCCCTGATTCTCATTTCTTCGGCAACTCTGGCCAACTCTTCCTGCTCCTTCTGAAACTTCTGCCTAGCCTCTTCGTGTTTCCTCTTGGCCTCTTCGGCAACTCGCGCGGACTTCCTCTCGAGTGCTCTCTTATCATTCTTGAGATAATTCTCCTGCCAGCTGACAAACTCCGTTTTTCTTCCTATTTCCCTCGAGACGAAGTTCCGGAGCCAAGCAGTCCTCTTCGGGGTGTCTTGCAGAAACTCTTCGGGTTCCTTGAAGGTCCTCACTGCTCCGTTATAGTCGCAGACTCCGATTAGGCGTTTCGTCTCGTGGAAGAACAGGTGAGTGACTACTTTCCCGGATACAGCTTGTACGAAAATGGGATCGTTGGTTGTCTCGTTTAAATCCCAGGTTTCCAATTCTCCGTCCAATTTAGCGAGCACGAAGGTGGATGGTCTGCTGGTCCAGCATCCGGCGGTGTAGTGGATCCTCGACTTCCTCTTCAGCAAGGGAGACTGCGGATACTCGTCGCTCCAAAGGGCGAAGACCCTTCCACCTGAACCAGGGTTGAAATCAGGATTGGCAAAGTTCGATCCATTCCGGTTAAAACCAGCGGTTTTTTCCGGGTTTTCTTTTTCCAGTTAATAAAATATAATACATAAAACCTACTCGGTTTCAAGGTGAAGTGAAACCCTCCTCGAATACAACACTTTTTTTTTAGAGTATTGGATCAAACTGCCCGAAACTTTGACACATGATCATCTAAGAATTGTCCTGACACATTCAAAATTTGGATTTTGGAAAAATATGTTTAACTTAGACCAGACCAGAATTTAAATGGCGTCCAGCTCTCATATTTCGATCAATATACAATTATTGAAGGCTCTGATACGGGAAACGAAAGGGTCAGGACAATTTTACGATAATTTAGAACACTCTAATAATCGATAAACTCGTATTTGAACGGGATAAAGGCAAAAAAGTGTCTTATGCGCTTCTATGCTAAAATGATAGGAATACGAGGTCTCGGAGTGAAAATTTAATTGACCTGGAAATCACAGATGGCGCAGGGGGTCCCTCTACAGTCAATTAGGGCCCCAGAAAGCATGAATCCAGAGGATTTCTGGAGATTTACTTCGATTTCTTTATAATTATTGTACGGAAACGACAGGTGGAGTATGCCATTTGGTACAATACTCAATATTATTCGACACAGCTGTCGATATAGAAACGAACGTCGGCGACGTAGGTATTTAGAAAATTCTTCTTTATCGACGTCGGTCAAGTTCCTCGACGTGTTTCACTTCACCTTAACCACCCTAGACCTAAGATCCCTAAAGGCGCCTATAAAAGTGAGGCATGAGGAAGAGCCTACACTTTAAAAAACATTTATTTCCAAAAATGAAATACTCAATGTTCATTGAATATTAAAAATAAAAAGAAAATCAATTAAGGGTTTACTCGAATGGTTAATGTTAATTTAGCAAATTCGTAATCTTTACGGCTGTTGATTTTTTCAAAGAAACGACTTTTATCAACTCTGACCTAGACTCAAAAACAGCCCAGAGACGTGAGGCGACCGAAGGATTTTTGTTACGGGTCCGTCATGAACAATCCGCCCTGAAGAAATCTTCATATGTTCCCAGTCGGTGACGTCCGAGTCGAATTCGTGGCCCTTCCAGGTGCACAATGAAATATCCGAGTCTGCCAATCCCACCCAAAATGCTCTGGAGAAGTTTTCAGTTTTTTTCCCTAACTCCACCGAAGGTCCAGTTTCCTTGGCCTCTTCATGGACCTCTTCTAGGTCGAGTTTGGAGGACGTAGGGTGAATGGTGAGTAAGGTCAAGTTTATGTTCTTGGACACCTGGAGGTATGGATAAATCGATATAAATAAACAATTCATTCGATACTTTTAAATCGATACCA